ACGTCACATCCTCCCCCCAGAGTCTAACTTACTGTAATGTAGATGTGATAGCACACCACGCTGCCACGTCTCTTTGTCGCGGTCAGAGAATCTATAAATAACGAGTTTTTAGTTTCAAAAGCAACGAGCGAGGGAATCCGATAGCAAGGGAAAGGCTGTGGACGCTCATTACGCTTATGATTCCCAGCGCGAGACACTTCCAGCGGGACACCGACCGGCAGTTTAAGCGGGAAAGGCAGTGCGTCTGTAATCTTGTTAGCGGCAGAGGGCGCAGCGGCTGCCGGGCTCATACTTCAGTGTGTAGACCGAGTGCGGGGGCGGTATACTACGGCCTGTCCTCGGCGCATGCTAACACGAGGCCAGCCTTCTCCGGGGTCAGAGTCTGCTGTGACCTCAGCACTAGGAGAAGGAGAGAAAATAAAGCATGCCATTCCGGCGGCGGGAGTGCAGCGGTGGCGGATCTGAAACGGTGCGAGCGACGAGTGCGGTGTTGTGGTCTTTGATCAGATGCGTGCTTTTAACGTCTTAAATATTTGTGTCTCCTTTTACATTGCGAGGTTCGATGTGGACACCTCGCTTTGCATTGTCAAGATCAAAAGCGAACCTTCGAGACGTTTTGCCTCCGGATGTGATATTTAACCTGACTGAGCTGTTTGAAATCGTAGAAACGTCTTTCGTTTTATCGTTTGTAGTATTTTGGTTGTGACCGTTGCTCTGGGTTTTCCGTTTTCTTTAAGATAACCTTATTCTATACACGATAATCAAGATTGGTAAATAGTGTCTGATAAAAGTATTTTACAAGTTAACGTGTGTATAAAACGAGACCAGAGTAACTCCAAGTCACCAGTCCACTAATATATAACAAATTTTCAATCATATCTTAATTTACTCAAAATTTGGAGGAAGACGAAAGAAAAATCTCGACAGTGGATGCATGCGGGACGGGAACTCGGCAACAACACGCCCCGCTGCCTCGAACAGGAACTGATCTATTAAATCCAAACTAAATTCCCCGTAGTGATGACCGGCACGGAGGGGGCGGGGGGGACAGAAGTGATGGCCCCACACACGCAGGAGGGAGAAGAGTCACCCAGCGGCAAAACGGGTGATGAACAGGTAGTGAAATCCTCTGCTGTCGCCAGTGCAAAGTGTGATGATGCTGTTGTGGTGAGCCTATGTTGTACATTTTGCGTTTGGCACGCACACGCACACGCACACACACACGCACACACACGCACACACACACACACACACACACACACACACACACACACACACACACACACACACACACACACACACACACACACACACACACACACCACACTACACACACTACACTACACAACAATATACTACAGACATGCATACACGCTCAGATATCTCCATTATTTTAACCGTAAATTTTCACTCACTGGCAATGTTCGCTCCATATTTTCCTATCACTCCAGGTCATATGTATCCCTAATAAAAATAAAGATAAAAAAAAAACGGTTTTCATATATTCATGTCATTTTGTGAAAGCCATGCACATGTCCTGAAGTGATAATTCTGTTTGGAACCAAATATCAGTACAAATATCAATTCTTTCTTCATTTCCTTCTAAAACTCTTCTTTTTTTTGCTTCTTTCTTTCAAAAAATTACTAAATCAACATTCCACCATTTCCTCACCCTATTCCACCGGTAATGCATCAGTTCATTGGCACAATATGAATAAACAGAGAGGAAAAAAGAAAAAGAAAAAGAAAAATATAGTTCCCGAGGCATCTGTTGAACACATGTGTTTATTTACAGAGTTAAGACGTTTGTTTTAGCTTGACAACCTTGGTCGACGCATCCCTGTCATTAGTGCCTATTGTTAAATGCAGTAAGACAATAACAGACGTAATAATGAGTTGAAAAGGGCGATATTCTAGTTCAGCTTTGTAGGCCAACCGTATCTACCACCATTGCCGCAAACCATTCGAATGCGATGATAGAGCCCAGACTTCGGTTTAAGTTGTCAGGAACTTATTTATAAACCAGAAAAAAACGTTAGGACTTCTGTTAAATTTTGCAGATCTGTTACATGTATTATAAATTTGTATAAGTTCTTACATGATGATATACCGGTTATCGCTGATTACCAATTCTAATCAACGCCGTAATCATGGCCCAAGCATCACATTCGTATCATTTGCGATAATGGCTGATTGATATGTAAGTAACGAGCGATATGTAGGTAATAGATAATCAAGCATTGTTAAACAGTTAGTTGTGTGTAATAGATGTTTAAGTGTTTAGGTAATTTGTGTTATGTAAGAAACATGTGTTTAAATGTTAAGTATTTGGTAATAAGTGTATGCGATGTGATTAAGCTTTAAAAAGACTTCTAACTACGAATTTTTAATAGTCATATTTCCAGGGAAAATTATCTTTAAAAAAGTCTTCCAAATGAAGAAAAGAACATAATTAAACCTGCCCACCCGACATAATAGAATATAGCTCATTTCCTCAATT